GGCGCCTGGGTGCTGTGGCAGTCGGCCGGGGGGAGGGCTGCTCCCCGTGGAAGGGCGGGATCACTCGCTGCTACCCCCAGGGGGCTGGGTCGTTGGAACTGTTACTGCCCTCCTGATGTATGGTGAGGGAAACTGAGGCACAGCAGGGCATGGAAGTCATCCAGAAGCCTCAACTCCCTAAACCAGTTGTGTTGTCACCAAGTGATAGACCCCAGCAGTCCTGCGGCTGACCCCCTACTGGCTCTAACCATTAGATCCCACTCCCCTCCCAGAGCACAGCACCCAGGAGCCCTGCAGTCAGGATGCCTGGGGCTCTGCTCCCGATCACGCCACTGGACTTGCCGCCTGACCTTGGGTGAGTCATTTTGTTCATGCTGTGCCACAGGTTCCCTGCTTGTAAGGCAGCGCGGAAATGAGCAACGCGGCCCCCTGGCCCCAGCATAGGGATCCCCATTCTGCCACCACCTGCCCTCCCTGCAGCCCTAGGACTCTGTAGTTTTATTTTCGCCGCCCCAGCGAGAGAGAGGGAGAGCGGTCCCCCCTCCCTGGCCAGCTGCAACCACCGATAAGCTCCCCTGGCTTCTGCAGCAGTGACAGGTGTGCGCTTTCCCCAGTCGTCCACCCCCTGGTCATCCCCCAGAGGATGGGGGGCTCAGAGCCTTTCATCCAGCTCCAGCCAACCTCGTTCCCAAGGACGTGGCCTTCTCCTGGCAGCTCCGCATGCACCTGTAATGTCAGCTCCCATCTGGGGACTCTGCACCCTTCCCAGAGCCCAAGCCCTGCTGTCCCCTGAGCTGGGACTGGGGGTGGGTAGAGGAGCGAATGGCCCGTTCCTGTGCGCCCTAGAGAGCTGCTGCAGTTGGGGGGCGGGGGAGAGCCCTGGCCGGCCCTTGTCCAGCCCTGCTATGGCCGTACTGCCCGCTGCATGGGGCGCAGGCCAGGGCGGCACCATGGAGGGACCCAGAGGAACGGAGAGAGAATCTGTAACCGAGCCAGGGGCTTTGCTGCTCTTTTCCACGTGAGATGCAGCCGGCCTGGGAGTCAGGATGCCTGAGTTCTCCTCTTGCTGCTGGCCTGTGAGTACAGCACCGTGTGAGCCGAAGCAGCCGTGCCCGAGCTCCCAGGAGGAGAACTTGGCCCATGCGCCAGCTAGTGCTGGGAAAGAAACGCAGGCGGCCGGAGTCCGTCGTCTGCCCCACGAGACCTGCCTCAAAGGACCCCTGTGTCTGTCTGCAGGCGGCTAAGCCCATGGGATGAACCAGGCTGCGTGTAGCTTATTCCTCCCTCCCGTCTCTCAGCGACCAGGGCCGGGCTGTAAAGAGCCCCCCGGCAGAGCGGGAGCTGGTGATGCCAGGGCTGTGGGATGCTGGTTGGATGAGCTAGCCTGCATGCCAGGCTATTGCTAGGAGTGGCGAATGCTGTCCCGGATGCCTGGGTTCCACAAGTCACGGTCCCTCTCTATGCCTCTCTGCGCCTGGCACAGCGGGTCCCTGGGGGGCGACCGCAAGGCATGGGACATGAATCTGTTTCCATGTGTTGCCTCCAGCCAGGCTCTCAACCTTTCCAGACTAGGGCACCCCTGTCAGGCGGCTGATGTGCCCTGCATGCCCCCTGAGTTTCACCTCCAGTAAGGACCCCCGACAAAACGAGACAGCAGTGCCATGGTCCCCTACCAGGGAACAGCTGCTGCCTCGCTCCTGGTTCCCAGCCAAGGACCCAGTGCATGGGCTGGGATGTAAAGGCCGTGCTGACGTTTCTGTGCACGCTCTGTGCAGCCGTGCCAAGAGTCACCGTTTGGACTGCACGTGCTCTCTGGCCCTGGCGTGAGCCTAGGAGAGACCTAGAGCCGATGTGTCCCCCGGAATGGCTCAGTGTAATCCCAGCTGAGCACCGCTCTGACAGGGACCCCTTCTGTGGGCTGACCTGGGGTCTCAGGGAGCCCAGAGAGGTGGAAAAGGGAAGTGAAGGCGAAACGGTGTCAGATGAGATTCTCGGGCTGTGGAGAGGGCCCCCGGACATGATGTTGTCAAGATCCTACAAGATTCCCAGTCCTGCGTGTCCTCGCAAGGCGCCCGGCAGCCACACCAAAGCAGCGCCCCCTCCGGAGTGGAACCTGTTTGGGCCTGGGTGTGCGCTGCTGATGACTGGATGCTGGCCCAGCCACGGCTAAATAGCTGGGGCCTGATGTTGTTAAGCCCAGGGATCGTGGGGTTGATCCCTGTGGCTGGCCTTGTTCTTGCGCTACAAGGCTCAGAGGTGGCCAGCTTGAGCCCTGCTGTGTCTTGTACTAACAAGTCTTACTCCAGACTCAGTGTCCTTTCCTGCAGCAGTGGCTGCTTTCGGGACGGCATTAGAAAGCCCCAAGAATGGTGCAAACGGCCACACACAGGGGCTGCTCCCCCAGCCCATGCCCTAGAGTGATGCACATGAAATACCTGGATTTGTTTTTTAACCAGCCTTTTTATTAACATTCACATAAGGCACAACACGGCAACCAGAAATGCTCGAGAGCCAAAGGCAATCTCTCCCACCACCATTCAAAGTGGCACAGTGCAGGACGCTCAGACTCTGCCCCAATCTGAGATCACGGGCTCCCTGCCACTCGCATGCAGAATTATTTTAAAAAGCAGTGTAGGGCATATGACACACGCCTGTGCATTGCATAGACACACAAGCTGGCTCATTGCACTATGTCGGATGGAAGGTCTCTCTTAACAGATGAACTATGACCCAGCCAGTGAGCCAGGAATAAATAAATATCTAACCCAATTCCAATGTCAATAATTACCCAATAATTCCAGGGACTGAAAATAAATTACATAAATAAGACACGTTATGTAACACTGCTACAGCTAGGGCCAGCCTATTGCACCTGAAAACACTGACTGCAGAATGTCTTCTGCTGGGTAGCTGGGCGCTCCTACTCCACAGTAAGCAGAAACCAGCTGTTTCAAAGTCGCCTTCGAAGTAAGCGGGAAAAGGAAGCAGCCCGAGTTTTGAAAATTCAATATTTTGAAAATACAGAACCACGTTCCACCCACTTCAGGTCACGAAACTGGCACCGCACTGCCCAGCACCAATTTCTTAGCGGGGGGCAGGCAAGCAGGAGTCAGGGCAACTGCTAGTAAACCTGCGAGAGGCTGGCAAGAGGCGCTAACTCACAGATGCAACCTGAAGGCTTGACGTTGACCTGAGAAAAAAAGCCAGGAGCAAGCTACTGACTCACCATGTGACTGCTCTGCCACCGGTCAGGAGCCAGGATTGTCTCCTGATATGTAACAATATAGCACTTAAAATAAATATAAGGGCCCAGCCCTTCTCCCTCTCGTCTCCCCCTCATGCCAATTCGGTAGCTGTGTCTGGACTAAAGTTCCCTCGGCTGGCAAAAGGATTTCAGTGGCAGGATTCCTTTTCGGCAACATACTTCAGATGTTCATTCAGTAGGCGAAAGATGTCGAACATCATGGCTTGCTCCAAGCACCTGGCAGACACCTGGGACCAGAGAAATAAAAAGTGGACATTACAGCTTGTCGCTGGGGGATAGAACTAAAGGAGAATCGCTGCTAGCTGTCAGCACTAGAAGGGATAGGACACATGGTTGCAGTATTCTGACTCCAGCCAGCAGACAGTGGCCACCATGCAGGATTGTCCAGATGCCAGGTGCTGACAAACCCACAGTTCCGTGGAGCTGTCCTGTGGTCTCACCTCTCTTTTTCTGGAGTGGGATTTCTGGAGCCATTTGGTGTAGCTGGATAGCTGCGCAGTCAGGCTGTGATCCAGGCCCTTTAGCTGGATCTGAAAGATGGTGCAGCAGGCCTTACAAATGCCCTCCTCTCCAGCAGTGCCCATGTCCCACCCCAGAGGTGGCTGCATCTCAGTGCCAGGCCAGGGATCTTCGTATAAACAGCCCCCAAGTCTCACCCCACACAGCTGGTACTCACACAGCTCCTGAGGTCTGCTCTGATGCTGGCCAGGGTGTCCAGGGGTAGGGACACCCAGTTGGCCATGGCGGATTCACTGAGGTTCTGCATGAGCCTGATGGACAGATCCACTTCTTCCTCCAGCAGCACCAAGCTGTGACATGCCTGCGGGTGCAGCAGAGGGATGCCTGTGTGAGATGGGAGGGGTAGCAGGTCTGTGGGACTGGCCAGGCAGGGTGGTGGGGAGGGTTGGAGGAGGGTTTGGGGGCAGACATGAGGGGGAATGGGCCAGAGGGGGAGGCAATCAGGCTGGACTCTCTCACCCTCAGCTGGTCTGGCTTGTGACGGAAGAGGCGGATGTAGCAGTTCATGGCGGCAGGACCCCAGACAAGCTCCTTCTGCGGGGGAAAGGCGAGACGGGCATGCAGCGAAACTGCTCCCATTGGGCATCCAAGCAACGCAGGGTTGCCCTCTAGCCTGGAGCCAGCCCTGCGATGCTGCCGTCTCTGGGGTGGGATCTGCCGCTGTTTATAACAACTCCTCGCCTGGTGGGGAGATGCAGCCACCTCTGGGGCAGCACATGGCGACTTGGCAGCCGCAAGCTGTGTTTGCACCACCAGTTAGGACAGGAAGTGACAATCGTTTCCTTCTGCCGCCCACTGAAACTGCCAGGGGCAGCATGACATGGACAATTTGGCTCCAGTCCTGGGGTTACCGCCACCCTCATACTAACTCTTCAGCGTCGGGGATAGGGACAGCGGTTTTACGTCTTGTCGCCGAGCTGCCTCTACTCACGTATTTATCCCGGAGGTCCTGGAAGGCTTGGCCCAC